CATGGGGGGTTGGCCACACCACAATCCCTTTTCCTTCATTCTCCTCTTGGGATTTTGGGCGTACGTGTGCACACACCTGGTAGGTTTTTTTCAAGCCTCTGGGGACTCAAACCACACAGCTGGCCATGTGGGATCCAGCCACTTTAACTGCCATGCCACCGGCTGGCCCATTTCAACTCTTTTGAAATGTACCGTTGTAATACACCAGATACGTTTTATCTTCTCTTTGATGAAATCAAGGCAACTAACTGATGGACTCTTGAGAGAGCCTGGAAGGAGGAAGGATTGTGTTTTTCTAAAGAATTATTTAATTTTATTTATAATAATAATTATTATTATTTAATTATTTAATTTGTGATTGGGCACATGCACTCACCAGAGAGAGTCAGAGAGATAGAAAGTGAGAAAACAAGCCTCCCAATCAAACCACGGTAGGCTACGTGAAAGTCCAGCACCTTCACTACCATGCCATCTGTTGGGCATGCATGCACATGTGCCAGGTGTGAGTTTCAAGCCTCCGAGTCCAACGTTCACATGGCCACGTGGGAGTCCAGTGACAACCATTATGCCATCTGCTGGTCCTACGGCTCCTGCTTTCTAAAGAGTCAAGTACCCCAACTTCATTGACTGGCTTTGTCATCTGAGGCAATTATTTAACCTCAGTTTCCTCATCTCTCAAACAGGACACTCATCATATTTAACTCCTAGGGTGACTGTGAGAAGTATACGAGAAATAATAAATACTCTCGCCCTTCATCCAATGACTTCTGTGTACTAATAGCTATCACTCACAGAAGGCACTCATTAAATGTTACTTATTAGAGTTTATTATCAAGTTTGAGCGAAAATTCTACTGTAAGGACTCAGACTAAAAATATACTTAAATTTTTCCTCGCTTTGTAAAACTTCTTTGTGACTTCTTATTCACATTCAATTGCTGTACATCTCTATAGCACATTATGGTTTTTCAAAGTATGCATGTAGCACATGACATTCAAATCAAAGATATTACCATGTAGAAGATTTTATTTTTGACAGAGAACCTTACATTCTTTTTTTTTACTTTATTAAAATACTGAGTTTATTTCACATGTATATTTTGTCTCCCCCCCATTTCCATGTCTGACCACCACTACTCCTGTGTCCTATCATAACATTCCATACATACTTAAAACCAAGCAAAGGGTGGAGTTCCATCTTTAAAAACTAAACAGGCATTTTGGACAACACATTCTTGGCAATGGAACCTGGACAGCATTTATCACTCACTCTGCATTATAAAAAGGACAGCCAGATTCCAACTGTTACAGAAATGAAATAAGATGGAAAATTTCAACAAACTGTTTAAACTATTTTCTTAAAGAGACTTCTTCTACTGCCAGAGACCTTGAATAGCCTCCTGATCAGTCATCCACAAGCAATTCTTGACATAATTGATAAACTTGGCTTCCACTTTGGGAAGAAAACCACTTTTCTATACTTGCTTGCATTTTTGCTTTAATGTCTTCTACAGAACTAGGTCCTTTTGATGTTTTACGAGTTTTTTCCTGTTTTTTGAATGATTCTTGACCATTTGATCTTGGTGTTGATGGTTTTGAGTCTTTTCCATTCTGGTTTGATTTTGAGCGTTTTTGCCAGGAGTACCTGGTATAGATTTCTTCACTGGAGCTTTTTCTTCTGTTTCCTCATCTTCAAAATCATCATCGTCATCATCATCATCAGCAGCAGCAGCAGCAGCACCAAGTTTTACTTATTTTCTGTGGAACCTTGCTTCCTCCTCCAGGGGCAGATCACTTTCCAGATATACTGAAGAGTTTCACGTCCTCTTCCTCTTCTTCTGACTCTGCATGTTCCTCCGCAGCTACAAGTGCTGTCCACTAATGTGCACAGGCCCTGAACCACACTTCAACCTTAAGACCACAGGCGGTGGTATTTTCAAAAGCCCCCAAGGGAAACCGTTAGCTGTACAGACATTTTCAGTGTTGCCAGTGTTACTTTAATTGGACTGCCTTCATAATTCATTGCCTATGCTTCAACAGTGTGCAATCTTGTACCAGCCACTAAACTGACTGTTCTTAAAGATAACTGGTGTTCATTTTCATTATTATCCACTTTAAAGTGATGATCTTTGTCGGTCTTTAGTTCACAATGGAAAAGATAGTTCTGGGGCCTCAGGGGACTCATGACCATGTCCACTGAATCTTTCATGGGGTGGTGGCATGCACTTGGGTGGAGGAGAAGGCGGACAGAGATAAACAACTACAGCTCCCAAAAAGTAGCCCGGCAGGATGGAATCACTCCAGGGCAAACTTTATATTCTTATGTCTCTTAAGTATCTCTTCCCTGAGCCCCTCCCATGCACCCTCTACATCCACCCCCTCAATTCCTGGCATTTTGGGTGAGGTCACTTTTTTTTTTTTTTTTATTACCAGAGGGCACATGCACTTACCAGAGAAAAATAGAGGTAGAGAGGAAGAGAGAGAGAGAGAAAGCACCCCCCCAGTGGGGTGTGGCCCTCCATTTCTGTATCCCGTCAGTATTTAGAGTGCACACACAACATACACACTGTGTTTTTGTTTTGTTTTATTTTTGAGAGGTTTTTGCTATAGGGTGTGTGCTCACCAGAAAGACAGAGAGAGAGACAGAGGGACAGAAAGCAAGGGGATGGACACAATGCAATCCCTTCTTCTCCAGTCTCCTCTCAGGATTTTGGGCACGCACACACATGCACCTAGTGAGTTTTAAGCCACCGGGTCCAGGACCTGAACTGCAGTTGACTATATGAGAATCTAGTGACATAACTATTATGCCATCTGCTGGTCCCGAGGCACTGTTTCTTAAGAGGATTAAAAATATTCAGAGTCCCAATCACCGTACAGTTTCTAATGAAGTGGTGGGTTGCAGCTAAGTAACTGTCCTGGTGTGATGTAACGGAGCCCACAGGAGTCTGCATTACTGCTAGTGTATATAAAGAAGCACACTCTGGCCATCCATTTAATTTACATTAGATTCTAGAGGAAATAAAAATTACACTATGGGACTAGCAGATGGCATACATCGTTGGACTCATGTTGTCGACAGCAGTTCAAGTCCCGGACTCAAATGGCTTAAAACATACTGGGCGCATATGTGTGTGTGCCCAAGATCCCAAGATGAGGATGAAAGAGAAGGGATTGCATTGTGGCCAACGTTTACTGCAGCATTATTCATGACCGCTAAGACACGGAACCAACCCAAATGTCCATAACAGATGAATGGATCGAAAAAGTGTGGCACATATACTCTATGGAATACTACTCAGCTATACAAAACAACAAGACCCTGGCATTTAATAGAAAGTGGTCGGACATGGAGGATCTATTGCTGAGTAAAGCCAGCCAGGATATGAAAGAAAGATACTGTATGTATCCACTTAATATATACCAACTATCTGTATTTTATGGTAGCAATCAAAATATTGGAGGGCATAAAAGCAGTGAAAATAGTTAGAGATGCTGAAGACAGTGTGAAATGGGGTAGGGGAAAGGAAGAATATAGAGGAGGATAGCAAGAGAACAAATAGAGAGGCATGACATTAGTGGGACACAGAAATGGTTTATTACTTTTATTACCTGTTGATAATATGTATCGTATTCTCAACTGGACTGATCTGAGAAGTATTTTATGACAAGTAAATTATTTTTACAAGCAAAATGATATATAGTGATTTAAAAAAAAACAATGAAAATAATAATAATCTGGGAAAAATGATGAAAAGCTATTTGATGATGATGATATGGATAGTAATGTTTTTGTCTTGACTGACATACATGGTATGGTATTTCTTCTGGAAAAATAAATGTAGTACACTGTAAAGATATATGTGATTCAATGTAATATAAACAAGATTATGATAATAATAAATGTAAATTTAAAAAGAGAAAAAAGATCAGCGGTCCTACTTTTTCTTTTCTTTTTTTTTTTTAATGATCAGTTAATTAGGTTCTTGGCAAAAAATTTAGAACACCAAGTTGTGAGGATAAATTCTATTTGTAAGGGCAAACACAGATCGCAGGTAGCCAGAGCGGAGGAACAGCTTTGATTTTTGGTAAAACTTTCTAATCAACCTTGCACTGCTCTGCAATCTTGTATTTCTCCTTCTCTGTCAAAGATCTCACCTTCCTGGTGTCTGGGTTTCTACAGCTTCTTTTTCTTAAAGTAAGCATCGGTAAGGTGTTTTGGGATTTTTACTTTGCTAATATAAATTTTCGTGGAGGTGGCGAATGACAAATTTCTGATTTGTTCTATGCAGTGGAACTTGATTGAGGACTAGTGGTCCAGTCACAAGCAACAAGCCACTGTTTAGCTGCTTCACAAAAACCACTCTCTTGCCTCTGTGGTTTCCAGTGAGGATGATAAGCCAGGAGTGATGCTGACTTGCAGCTCTCTCACATGCTGACTGAAGGGTTTTTTGCCATGGCTCAACAGCTTTCGAGGCACATCTTCAGTAGGATAACACCTAGGCATTTTGTGAAGTTTAGCCGCTCAGTATCACCACTTCTGTCTCCACCAACTGGTTTTGTGACAGTGGCAAGAATCTTCTTTTTCTTTTTGATCCTGGATTTGTTGTCCGAGTATTTCCTCTTGCACATGGCCTTCCTGGAATACATGGCAGACCGGGAGTATCTGCCAATGCCCGGGATTAGGACCGGGAATTGGCCGCAATGGGGCTTCCCTTTCTTGGGCTTTTTAGCCTTGGGGTCACTCTTTGTAACCTGGCCACTGGCATCAGCCTTCTTGGCTTCAGGTTTCTTCTCCTTAGCATCCTGCTTCACAGCTTTTTCACCTGCCATCTTGTATAGTGGGAAAAAGAACTCCCATTTTTCGTTTTCAAGAGCTCTTATTCCTCAAATGTTTCCTGTTTCTTAAATGCAGCAACTTCTCTTATTGCCCTAAGGACATGAGTTATTAATTATGGCTTCTTCTGAAGTTTTCATCTGCTTCTTAGGATATTATCTCTGTTTTCTTTGAAAATTTTTCCCACTTGCTTAGGTCTTTATCTTTCCAGTTAGAGCTGTTACACCATGGGTGGTAGTTCTTGAGTTGTCACTCTGCATTTACATAGAGGAAGCACAAGAGGCAGTAGGTACACACTCTACACACAGGAGGGACGTGCTGAGCAGTGGCAATCAATGCAGAGCCACAGAATGGGGTGTATTCAGTCAGGGTCCTCCAGAGAGGCAGAACCAACGGGTTTTGTGTGTGTGTGTGTGTGTGTGTGTGTGTGTGTGTGTGTGCGTGTACAGGAGATTAGATTAGATTAAATGCCTGACGAGTCCACAATCTGAGTCAGAGGGTCACGAGGATGAAAACTCAGGACAGAACTGCAGTCAAGGCCAAGGGCAGTGCTGCAGTCCCAGAAAGGGCCAAGGTCACAGACGAGGTCCATGGGCGGCCTCCGGAGGATGGCTCTTGCCTTTTTTTTTTTTTTTTTTTTTTTTGGGGGTGTGGTGTT